AGGTTCCACACTAGTTGCCGTACCTGTAACCCAACTAGGAGGTTACCCATATAAACCCTCTGGCTTTCCTCTTTTGTTCCTCTACTCTTGAGTTTGACGGTAAAAAAGTAACTATTACATGTAATCCTCCATTTTTTTCAACGCTAGTACTTGTTTTAATATCTGTTCCTCTTCCCGCTAAGTTTGTTGCAATTATTATATCTCCTGAGTCAACTTTCTCTTTTACTGCTGAACATTCATCATTATCATTATCATTTCTAGAATATAGTCTTGTTTTCCATCTTTGATCAACTTTTGTTAAAATTTCATAAATTACTGTTACATCTTCTATTGTCTTACAAATAACTAATACCGCTCTTCCTTTTTCACTTTCCTGTATTATATTACTCACAATTTCCACACACCATTTAGTCTTATCGTTAGCTACTATTCCTTCTAGCTCTTTAAATTGTTTTGCTTTATATGTCGGAATAAATCCAAAATCTATTTTATAAATTGAAGATAGCAGATCTTGTTCCTCCTTAGATCCTACTGTTCCAGTCATTCCATAAATTTTAGCTCCGTATTTTTTAAAATATCTTAGATTTGAGACAAAACTTGTAGCTACTGTCTCAGGTGTAAGCTTGAATCCATGCTTTACTTGCAGAAATTGATGTAACCCATCAGAATACGTCTCACTCTCTTGCACTATTCCAGTACTTTCATAGTCAACTGGTGCAATTATCGAGTTTTTATTTTTATCTTTTACTGATAGATACTCTATATTCTCATGAAATATACTCCAGCTTTGAATTGCAGATTTCACTAATTCTTCTACAAACTTTAAAGAAAAATCTTTTAAAAAGTCTGGTAGTTCTATTATTCTTTCTTTTATAATCATGGTTGTAAATTCTATTAAATGTTTAGAGATAAAATTGTAAAGATTCTTTATTTCATGTATTTTTGCTTCTTTTCCTAAGTAAAGTTCTCCTCCTTCTTCATTGAACTCACCATCTATATATACTGTCTTCCCTCCTATCTTTGTAATTTGCTTGTGTATTCTAGTTAACTCGTTTGCTACTCCACAAAATACCGGATTTAAATATTCAAACCCTGCTAGTTCTCCCGTTAACCTTGCAGTCCTGCCACTATCATCAATCATCATATTATCTACTTCATCTACAATTACTACCCCAAATCCTCTGTTCCATCTGTTATTCCTTCTCTTATGTTCGTGCGCCAGCCAATCAAACTGAAACCTACTTAAACTATCTTGTTTAAATAGCATATCTTCTTTGCCTCAATCTCGCCACTAGGTAGTCGGTTTATCAAATAGTCTTTAAACTCTTCACCTTCATTAGACCCACAACTGATCCCTAATGTTTCATAAAAACTTTTTCGCTCATCAGCATCTCTCTTTGCTAAAACAGAGGAGCTCGTTATTATATCCACATTCTCTCCTTGTAATGCTTTAATACTTGCGAGCATAGCACATATGGTAGACTTTCCTTCTCCTGTGGATACTTGTAACGATCTACCCTGTCCCTTTGGCGACTCAAAAAGTAATATAGCTAAAACCTGGGTTATTCTCGGATCATTCCCACAATGAAGGATATTTGTCCTCTTAAGGACTGCTATCATTTCTTCCAGAAACTCGGGATCCCTTGTAACTTCTGTTCCGTTTATAGTATTTGCCCAATCCTGTATATTTTCCTTGTTCCAATGCTTAATTTTTTTTCCTTGCGGAAAAACTTTTGAATCATTTTCGAAAGCTTCCATAGTTTTTATTACTTGAGCTTTCAAAATTCCTTTATTTACCAAATCACAAATCTTAGGCTTATCATGATTAAGCCGTAGAATTTCTTTCAATAATTCTTCTAAATTTCTCTCTCCATTAGTTTGATTCATAATTGTGGATTTTTGGGTTTCAAAAAGGCGAGTTACTGTATTGTTTAAAATTTTTTTCTGTATTATATTTAAAAATGGGCTGATCAACATTCATGCTAGGGATGCTAACGTTAAGTGGTCCACGGGGAACTAGTTCAGGCCGGGCCTGGACCGGACTTTTTAGGGAAAGGTCGTCTAATTGGTCGATTTAAATGTGATTATAATACTGGAACGAATTCAGACCATTACAATTAAAACACAATACTTGTTCACTGTTGTTCTATACGTTAAATCACTAGAATAGGACCGATTTTTACCTACTTTTTGACATGGGGTGAACGCGTCTTTTAACTAGTTTGGATCCAGACTTTTTTAGGGACTGGACCAGACGCACCACTTAACATCCTTAGTTCATGCATATGAAAGCCAATCATGTCATGCATGCTATCAAAGATTTAATGGTTTTTAGTTAGCGTTAGTGATATCATTGTTTCCATATATATATAATTCTATCATATCGATATCATTGTTTCCGTATATGTATATTAGTCGATCTTATCATATAATTTTCATAAATTACACAAATCGACGAAATCACGTTTTTAAAATTTTCTTCTAAAGTCTTAGTAACACATAACGTTCTCTAAGGCAAATAGGTTGCCAGGACTTCAACAAATCAAACAGTATAAAAAATAAGAAAACCAAAATCATCTGGAAATGTGCAATATCTTCAAAGATAAGCAATTATTTTGCTTTCTCTCGCATGATTCTTTTGGAGTTTTCAAGATCTTAACATGAAAAATAGCTTGTTAGATGCACACGAGTAAGAACTTCCTTTGAAATGCATCTTTAAAAGAAGAATAACTTATAAAAATTATAGAGAAAATTAAGAAAAATCATTTTATACTATATAGATTGTGTTTTTTTTTCTCTTTTTTTTTTAGTACAAAGATATAGCAAGTTACATTTAAAGTAATTATTATGTTTATTAGTTTACAAATTTTTGTAAAAAATTTATAGTTATTAACTTTTTCAATCTCTTATATTGGTTATATTATGCTGCTAATTTCAAATTGTTTTATTGGTATTCAATATTTTTACTAACAACTTCTTCATAAGCTTATTAATTAATTTCTAGATATATAGCAGAATCTTTATATATTTTGAGCTATTCCAAGATATCTTCCTTTTCAAGCTTAGTTTTGGTATGTTCTACTTGATTTCAAGGGTTGAATCCCAAATTAAATAATGGTTTAAATAATTTTATAGTTAGTGAAGTTAAATGATTATTATATATATAATTAGTAATTATATTGTTAATTTAAAATATTGTAAATAGGGTGTGGTAACTTAGAGTAGTAGTAGAGTTGTTGCATCTCCAAGCTAGCTTGACTATAATACCAAGTTCAAATTCTACTAGCAATATTTTAGACAAAATACTTGTGTTATAGTAACAGATTTTTATCCATAAAATCAGTTTGGACCAAAAGTTTTATATTGTTCAGATTAAGCCTAATTTTGATATTTGGGTCTAGTTTTTTTTTATATTGCACTAATATATAAATTTTAAGTTGACTATGTCAAAATATTTGGCTATTAAGTACTTCAGATTGGCTTCAGAATTAACCTGAAATTTCAAATTTAGTTGGTTTTGAATTAATTTTAGAACTGAGTTTTACAATTTGAATCAAAGCTCTAGTATAGGTAGCACAAATCTACAATAAAACTTCTAAAATTATATAAAACTGATAGTAAAAACTTGAAGATTTGAAACTAGTTTATAAATTCTAAGTTAGAAAATAAATCTTTAATAGTATTACAAACCATATCTCAATTGGATAACAAAGATCTTTGGGCAAAAAAAATTTACTAACTGAACTGCCAAAATTATTAGAGCTATGCTAGTTATACAGTATATTTATTAATTAGTTTATTAACCAGATAACTAGTAGAAAATTTTTTAAGATAAAATTATAGAAAAAAAAGATATATACTATAAAAATATGTGCTAAGAATCAGATTTAAATCTAAAAAATCTAAGTTTAGACAAATTAATTTTACTAGTATACTAGACTAAAAGTTTTAAAAAAATCAAAACTACAAAATATAAAAGTAATAAAATATAAATACAGTTATCTTTTTCTATAGTTATCTCCTATATAGTTACAAACTCTATAATTATACAAATTTTTACTACAATTTTTTTATTTATAAAAATTCCTATATATAGTCACAAATTATCTATAATCACTATTATATTTTATATTATAAGTAAAGAAAAATATAATATATATTTTCCTTCTATGAAATCAAATACCAGAAATAGTATTAGCAGTAGAATTACTAAATTGCAGCATTATAGTATTATGCATTATGATATTCTACTATATAGTAGAATTAATTATGGTATAAGATTTAATTGCTATAAATATTATATATATAATGTCATAGTGCTATAAATTTTTGATAACTAAGAAAAAACTATTATAGTTGCACCTTTCATAAATCTTTTCTTCAAATATGACTTTAAATTTTATATTATCAAGGGTGTGGCGACCTAGTGAAGTGGTGGGGTTGCTGCACCCCCAAGCGGCAGGTCTAGAGTTCGAATCCCACGGA